GCTGCCGCACAAAAGGCCGGGCGCCATTCGGTGGGCCCGGCGCCCGGCGAAGTGGCGCCTCCGGGGGCGGCGGGCGCCGGGCCGGGGGCCCCGCGGGACCCCCGCCACCCGGGCCGGCAAAGCCGGCGAGCCGAACTGTGCTTGGGGATTTCCCTGGCGGAGAGGCCGCCCGGCCTAGCCCGGCCGGCGTCCCTCACCCGCTGAGCGACATTTTGAGCCCGGGCGCTCCGCCGCCGGGCCCCGCGGTTTCCAGCCGGAGGCACGGTGCCGGCTGCCCCTGAAGTTTGGGGCCGCCTCGCTGGTGGGCTTCACAGCGCGCCTCGGCGTCGCGCCCTTCGCCGAGCGCCGGAGGGCAGCCGCGCTTTCCCTCTTCACTTAGTTTTCTCTGCAGGAAAGTAGATCAGTCGGGACCGCGGGAGCTCGCTTGGCCAGCGAGGCTCCTGTTCCCTTGTCTGCTGGCAGGAAGGCGGGGGGTGACAAGAGGAGTAGATGCCGGGCCCTCGCTCGGGCGCCTCCGGCAGCGAGAAGTGACCCCCCAGGGAGCCGTGGAGAAGGCACGCTGGAGCACCCGACCGGGTTTGCAGCAGGAGCTGCGGGGACAGCCTCTTCTGCTGCTGGGGCTGCGGCATCACCGAGCCCCTCGGCCTTGGGTCGATGCCCCTCCCTGGTTCGGAGGGGATCCGCTCGGAGCGGCGGGCAGCAAGCTGCCCCGGCGGCCCTACTCTGTGCCGGGAGGTGTGCCAGCTGGCTGCTGGGATGGGGGCAGCAGCTCCCACAGTTCACCATAGTGCTGGGCAAGGACAGATACATATTCATCACTTGTTCATTCAAATGCTTTTTCAGCTTGCTTTTTTCCCTCCCCTGTTAGCTTTGAAATCCAGAGCTCGCAAAGCATTGTACTGTAGTCTTTTAACTGATGAAAACCTCAGGTATTGGAAGCCTGGAAGAACGGGCAAAGGAAAAGTTACATGACACCAGTCAAATCTTAGCAGCTGGTTTGAGGGAGAAGCTCCAGGGGCTGTTGGAATGGCAGTTGGGGGTGGCCTCGCTTGGTGGCTTGTGCTCTAGCTCTCAAGCTGGACATAAAAGCCTGAGGTGGAAACTGCTGCTCACTATTAGTTTAGATGGTGAATGAAATCTCCTCGCAAAGACCAGTGTCAAAGTTACGCTAAGCCGTGCATTGCTGAATAAGCCACAGTTGGTTGGGCTAAAACCCTAAACCAGGGTTAGGGTTACTAAGATCAGCAGGAGAATCCCTTTGGAAGTTTGTCTCTCAGGTACAGCGGAAAAGGCCTCCTTTTGGGTGACCCTACTCCTTAGCGAAATGGTGAAAATGCATTTCTTTCATTAGGCTTTTAACCCTTAATTGGTTTTAATTTTCTGGGTGGATGGGCTTCATATTATGCGTTTTGTTTTCACTGTTGTAAGCCACCTTGGGTGCTTTATATAAGCAGAAGGGCAGGATACCAATTTAACAATAAATGCCATGTTTCAGAGGAAGGGTTGCTTTAGCATGACAGTAGATTCAAAACCAGGCAGTACAGTATGGCTTATTTGACGAGCAGTAACAAAGTATGACCTGAGCTGGGATTTCTCTGGGTATCAGTCTGGGAGCTGCTTGGTGCAGATGGACTTTGACCCAAGGCAGCGAAGCTTACATGGCAAGTGTACTGTTGAAGCATTTTTCACTTAAAGAGCAGGCAGGAACTTTGAAATGCCTTTCCCTCTCTTCCCCACCAGAACTAACCCAGTTCTCATGAGGGGGCTTGAGGCTTTTTGGCTGCTATATGAGAGGGGAGGAGGCTTCAGGTTGTTTTGCTTTGTTTTAACTCTGGGTTTGAAGTTTGGTTCCTAAGCTGTAACTCTTTGTAATCCTTATACTAAACACTTGGAGGATAGTCTTTGGATTACTGATTTCTGAGTGGAAGAGCCGAAATGCAATAATTAACTGGGTGGAGGCATATATCAATATTGATGTGCCTACTTATTATGAAAAAAAGCCCATTTGCCTATAAAATTACAATGGGCATTGTAATAGCACCGCTTTGGTTATCAAGTAACATTTCCTGTTCCTGCCCAGATGATGCTAAACTATATCTTGGAGAAGCCCAGCCCGCATGGACACTGTTGAAGAATGCAGGTTGCCCCTCTTCCAGCTCTACCTGGGGAAAATAAGTGAAAGAGAGATCCTCTTCGTAAGTTGTGGATGAACTTTGGAAGCAAGATGTGTGTCTTGTTAGCTTGGTTTGGTACCTAGATTTTGTGCCCCCGTCCTGAGTAGATTTATTCAGCAGTACGTCTGGTAGAGTGGCACATTTCAAAGTCTGCAGGTTTGGACTGTAACCTTTGAGAGGTTCTGTGACTGGGTTCACACATGGTCCTAACCTGTTGTTTTCTTAAGCATGGCTCGTTGAATGAGCCATAGTGGATTAAAGTTTGCACATTAAGCTATCTGAGGTTTACCAGCTGCGGTAGCTGGTTCACAGTAAGTGACTTAAATGGCTTTGTGTGCAGTGATACAGTTAGCCGGACCGCGGTCATCTCTGCATGGGCTCTTGCGTGTGGTGCGACAGATGAAGCCTGGGGCTGCTGCCTCCACTATCACCTAGCAGTTAAGGTTCCATTGCAGTGCATTGAGTTTAATGTTTCCCTTGTGTCAGCCAGAGGCACGGTGGAGGCTTTGAATTTCCGGAGGTCTCTACTACATTTGTTCACGGAAGGGTTTTTTTACTAAGGGTTAATTTTTGAAAGGTTTCGACCTGAACTCAGAAAAGCAGAAAGGAGAAGCTATCCTGGTTCATGTGCTATGGAATGTGCCCTGTGCATGACTGCGTTTGTGCTTATTCCATGGAAATGTGCAAAAAGTTGCTGAATTCCACTTGGCAGGAAAATCACCACTTTTCCTTATTTTAAAAACAGTACTAGAGTGTTTGACAGTGAATGAGTGATTCTGATGAAGATGGAGAGATGGCTGAACACCTTTCTAGAATCACAGTCTTTGTAACTACTTGCCTTCCCCAGAAATAAGTTGAGGAAAGAAGAGAAAGAAAAGCAGAGATAAATAGTCACCTAATCCCCTACAGTTGTTTTGGACTACAGCTTCCATAATCCTTAGTCAACAGTGTCAGAGGTTATGAAAATCATAATTGCAAGGAGGGCAGCATACCAACTAGTGGCACATGGAAGTGGTCTAGTTGGCCTGACTCCCAAAGTGGGAAGGTGCCACCAGGCAGAGAGTCAGGTGAGGAAGGAGGGCAGTGCCACCACCAGGATTTAAGTATTGAAACAGCAGTTCCTGGAATCCAAAATGCAACAGCCTCTGAAAGTTTTAGTTGAGGAGCCAAAGTAGTACAGTGCCTTGTGCCTGCTGGACCTCTCTTATTATTTGGATGCATTTGGGGGGTTTGGGCATTATGCTGGCTTTAGCTCTTGCTTGATTTGTTTACAACAGTAAAAATTGTCAGCAGGGTTACTGCAGTTTTTGGTCATTAAAGCTTATTGTTTCTGAGAAAAATAAAAACTGGGTGCCTGAAAACATGTATGTGCCGCAGTTCTTGGAAAAAGTAAGGTTTTTGTTTCTGTGTGTGGGACTGGGGACTCTTCTTTTCTTTTTTTGTTAAAGTGGTTGGCGAGAGCCAGTTTGGTGTAGTGGTTAAAAGAAACCAGGAGACGGCAAGTTCCAGCCCTCCCTCAAGCATGAAAGCTGGATGAGTGACTTTGGGGCAGTCACTCGCTCTCTCTCTCAGCCCAACCCACCTCACAGGATCGTTGTTGTTGTGGGGAAAATAGGAGGGACAAGCATTAAGCTATGCATGCTGTCTTGAGTTAAAAAAAAAATAAAGGCAGGATAAAAATCAAATAAATAAAATTGCTGGGACTGGAACGTAGACGGGCAACCCACCAGGTGACTGCTGCCTTCAAAAGCCTCTTTTGTGACCTGCCACAGATGTCCTCCCTTGTGGGTTCAGCACTTCTCTGGTCAATGGTTTGGCAGGTCAGAGGGCAAAGAGTGCGCTTTCCCAGCACCAGGGAAGGGAAGCTCTTCATGTATGTGTGTCCCTGCTCATGTTGCCCCTGGGCTCATGTGGTCCTCTTGGTACCCTTCAGATGTGTGGTTTCCAACCAGCCAGTCCACTCTTGTTTCAGCAGGGCAGTTGAAATCCAGAGTCCAGAGAGAGGAGCAAGTGATGTGGAGAATTCGTCTTCTGCAAAAGTTTTCTGACTGTCTCCTTGAGGCGCTGTTGACAAGCTCCTTGGGAACTCCTGAGTTCTCAGACGTGTTTCAAAGCAAGGACTGCCTGCCCTTTTTGAGAGTCAGTGGATTAACATGGTACGGTGGCTTAGACGCACCAAAGGCAGCCTCAGCATCTGAGCTCCGCCCGATGACCGAAGAAAGCCGCGTCCTGCTTTGCTTTGAAGCAGAGGCCTGGATAATGGAAGGTGGTGGTGCCCAGGAGGTGTTCCAGAAGGTTGGATGTGACTCCATAGTTTCTGGATTCCTCACGTCAAGACATTATTGAGGAGAGAATGCTGGAATGAGCTTTCCAGAGCCCTCCCCTTTTTTTCCTATTATCCCGCACCTCTTTAGGAGGGAAAGGGCAGGAAAGCCACACACTTTTTGGTTGTTACATAGAGGTAGCTGCAACCGAGGGTCGGAGACGGGTTGTGTGAAATCAGTAGAACTTACTGTGTAGTTTGTCATAATTTGTAGCCAGAAGTAACTTTGCCAATTCTGGGCTGTGAGAACTATTGTTGCTTTAATCCATTCCAAAGTTTTTGGGATTGATACCAAAATATAAACTCTTGTTACAGTGATGAAAAACTGCTTCAGAATGTCAGAAAAAGATGGAATTGGGGAGTGCCTCTAAGAGGGGAGGGGCAGTCTTGCAACCTGTGGGTTGGCACAGTGTCTCTTTCATGATAGCCAGGCATGTTTGAGGAAACACTTGGTTTAATCTTTGGAAGTTTTTATCTTACTGAAACTACCCTCAGCAAAAGCCTTGCCCCGCATGCGACTCATTTCTCCATATGGGAAGCCCTTTGACTGTTAAGCCCTTTCCCCAGTGAGGGGGGGCTTTGGGTTGAGCTGGCAGTTTCCACTGGGAAAAAAGAGGGTCACTCCTGGTATAGTTTATCTGTTGCCTTCTCTGAGACCTCCCTAGTTCTTGCATGTTGCATAAACCCAGCCAGTTGTGGTTTCGGTAAACCATAGTTAAACAAATTATACCTTGTTATGGGGATCCATTAAAAAGTTCAAATCTTTACTCACTTGAGCTTTCTGACGCTACAGAAATTGGCTTTTGAACTTTGTTGTCATTTTATTTTATTGTCGAAATGAAAATGCCCCAAGAGGCTTATAGTTAACCGTTTCAAATTAATACAGTGGTATTAAATTAATACAGTGGTTTTGCTACTACTTTGTTTCACATTGAGGCTTTATCTGTATCTTTTTGTTAGTCTAATGTTAAGAAAGGAATTTAACTATTGTTGAACAAACTATTGTTGCTTAGTTTATACATACAGTACATTCAAAAAGTATTCAGACCCCCTTCACTTTTTTCAATTTTGTTATATTGCAGCCTGATACTACAAT